GGCCAAATCCGCTCAAGATAAGCTCAATGCCACCATTGAGCATATCAATCTCATCGACGCGATCGGTTCATTCCAATGCGCCTAAATAATAATCTCTCTAAAACAAAATGGCAGTACAACATACAGGCAGAACCAAACCTAGCTCACTGACTGTCGCGTTCTTTAACGCAAACGGCATCAGAGATCAAAAGGAAGAAATCGTGTACTTTTTACGCGATCATGATGTCGACATCATGCTAGTGCAGGAGACCTTCTTGAAACCTAGCGTGCGCGATCCCAAAATAGCTAATTATACCTTAGTAAGAAATGATAGGCTGACCGGACCTAAAGGCGGCACCTTGATCTACTACAAAAGGTCCTTGCACTGTATACCGTTAGACACTCCACCGCTTGCTAACTTAGAAGCATCGGTATGTAGAATAGCACTTACGGGCCATCCGCCCGTCATAATTGCCTCGGCATATCAGCCACCGCAAAAACCCTTATTAGAAGCCGACATCTCGGCACTACTAAATCTAGGCCCCAGCGTAGTAATCGCGGGTGACCTAAACAGTAAGCACGTTAGTTGGAACTCTAACCTAAACAATCCAAACGGAAACATATTATGCGGCCTCACGGAGAGACTTAACTTCGACGTTATCGCTCCTGAGAGCCCAACTCACTACCCATTTATAACTAGTCACCAACCGGACGTCCTTGACGTAGCTATTTTAAAAGACATCCGGCTTAACATTAACTCGATCGAAACTTTCATCGAACTATGCTCGGACCATAGGCCGATCGTATTAGAACTGGGCCGGTCGGCTGGTGAGGTCCCTCAGACCAAAACCATCGTCGACTGGCGTAAGCTCAAGGTCAAACTTGAGTCTACGAACTCCCAGCATTTAGACTCAATACCGGACAAGATAGACTCGCCGGAGGAAGCCAATAGGGCGATTAGCGCCCTATCGACTCACCTCACATCAGCGGTCGAAGAGTGCTCCCGTAAGGTTCGTGTGTCGAGCGATCGGTACACAAAGCTTCCGTCAGACGTTCGACGGCTGATTAGAGCGAAAAACTCCGCGCTAAAAGCATATGACCGTTATCGCACGGCAGATAACAAAATCCGGCTACGTTCTCTGCAAAACGAGATTAAACAACGCGTTGTAGAATTTAGAAATGATAAATGGGATAACCTCTTAGAGGGATTAGAACCATCTCAAGATGCCTTTTGGAGGCTGACTAAAGCCATAAAAGCAGAGCAAATTGCTCCCATGCCGCCTCTCGTGAGGCTCGACCACCCCGATCTCGCCTTAGACGATCTCGAAAAAGCCGAATGCCTAGCCGACAGTCTAGAGAGCCAGTGTACCCCATCCAGCGTACCAACAGATCCCGCTCACCTGCTAGAGGTAGAAGCGGAAATCGAACGTAGGGCTGCGTTTCCGCCAGCGGGCGATCCACTCGATCCCGTGACTTTCGAAGAAGTCACTAAGACCATAAAAAGCCTTAAGATTAGATCAGCCCCTGGGCCAGACGGCATCAGTAACAAGGTGATCAAATCTCTTCCGGCACCGTTAATTTACCTCCTCGTAGGAATTTTCAACGCGCTTCTCTCGAGCTGCTCTTTCCCGGATATCTGGAAAGAAGCAGACGTAATAGGAATCCATAAACCGGGCAAACCGCGTAACCGACCCACCAGTTACAGGCCTATCAGCCTACTCAACACCTTAGGTAAATTATATGAGCACACTATCCTCAAGCGCCTCCGTCACTTCACGGAAACTAACAGACTCCTCCCTGACGAACAGTTTGGATTTAGAGCCAAACATTCATGTACTAACCAAATTCATCGCCTAACAGAATATATTCTGTCTGGCTTCAATCATCATCCGACAAGGAGAAAATCTCGAGGCACGGGAGCCCTCTTCTTTGATGTCGCAAAGGCTTTTGATAAGGTCTGGCACGACGGCTTGCTCTACAAGCTGTATAAACTAAACGTGCCGGACAGGCTCGTACACATCATCCGAGCCTTCCTTTCAAATCGCTCTTTTCGCTATCGAGTGGAGGGAACCCGTTCTTCGAAACGCTTTCCTAAGGCCGGTGTCCCACAAGGCTCCGCCCTGTCTCCAATTCTGTTTACACTTTTTACGAGTGACATCCCTAAAGATCCAGCGGTCAACACCGCTCTCTTCGCCGACGATACGGCTCTCTTTGTATCAGAGTACAATAGGAATATTCTCACTTTAAAACTCCAAAAAGCTGCCAATCGCTTAGGCGAATGGTTCCGCCAATGGAGAATTGAAGTGAATCCCGAAAAAAGTGTAGCAATATACTTTCAACGGAATCCAAAACAGTCCGGTAATGGACCAAGAAAACGTATGAAGGTAATTACCTTATACGGCCGCCCCATCCCATGGGAATCCTCGGCCAAATATCTGGGCGTTACGTTTGACGCCAACATGAGTTTCGCGAAACACATTAGTATTGTTCGCAACAAAGCCAAGTCAGTTATTGGCCGTCTCCATCCTCTTGTGAACAGCAAGAGTAAGCTGTCTCTAAGGCACAAACTCCATTTGTACAAATCCTGCGTTAGACCTATCATGTCTTACGCAAGTGTAGCCTTTGCACACACATATAAGTCCCACCTAAACGAACTACAGAAAGTTCAAAACCATTTCATCCGTAAAGCCACCGGTGCACGGTGGTATCAACGGAACTCTGATTTACACAGCGATTGTCAACTCCCCTGTATCTCCGAATACTTTAAGGAGATGTCCCAGCGCTACTTTGACAGCGCCGAAGCTCATCCGAACCCCCTAGTGGTAAACGCAGCCAACTACGTCCCGATACCGAACGTCGCGCCGTTTCTCCGTAGACCGCGTAATGTATTAATAGAGCAACCGCGCTCGCTCGATCCCGTCGACCCAAACGTCGCAGGCACATCACACACTGACACTACACCCACACCAATTGGGACAAACACTAATAGGACAACGGAAGGGGCGCGTCGCACCCGTAGGCGGGCACGACGCGTTCCAACACACACCGCGTACACACCGTACACCCGCGTGCCTGGGCGGTTCTCACCGCCCAGAACATCGACCGATACGAGCTAAGCAGTCAGAGGCAGGGGTTCGCATTCCCCCCCTCGGACTGCGGTTAGATAGCTCAAAACAAACCTCTACGGAGGGGACATGATGATTGGTAACAATACCAAATCACAAACCATCATCATCCTCATCCTTATCCCAGCTACCGCCTTTCCACTTTTAAATAGCTCGAGGCCTTTCAGGCCGCGAGCCCTGCGTCCGATGAAGCTGTAAGAACCGCATAGGTTAACAGCGTTAACATCACAGAAAATAGTTAAAAAAATTAGTTTATATCGGTGTTGACGTCGTCTATATAGAGACGAGTGTTTAATTTTCTACATATCTAGAATTTTATTATTACGTATTAACGACAATGTCTGGACGTGGTAAAGGCGGTAAAGTGAAGGGAAAGGCAAAGTCCCGTTCGAATCGTGCCGGTCTACAATTCCCCGTTGGACGTATTCACAGGCTGCTGCGAAAGGGAAATTATGCAGAGCGTGTGGGTGCCGGCGCTCCGGTGTACCTGGCCGCAGTCATGGAGTACCTCGCCGCTGAAGTTCTAGAGTTGGCCGGTAACGCTGCTCGGGACAATAAGAAGACCAGAATCATACCGAGACATCTTCAGCTTGCCATCCGCAACGATGAAGAGTTGAACAAGCTCCTCTCCGGTGTGACGATCGCCCAGGGCGGTGTACTACCCAACATTCAGGCGGTCCTTCTTCCCAAGAAGACCGAGAAGAAGGCCTAAACGAGTGTGTACACTACTCCCGTCGCATTACTACACCACACCACTAGGCCCAAGAAAATGGTTGAGAACATTAGACGAGAGTATGCGTCGACGTTTTATCGATCGGTAATGCCCTAATTGTACTATATACGTATTGCATATTCTGTTTTACGCTCCTTAGTATAATAATGGTGCATTCGCCGTCCGTCGACTCGCGTGTCTCTACTGCTCTATTGCTATCTACCGTTCGTGGTGGTACGTGATTAAAAGGCCCTTTTGAGGGCCACAAATACTATCGATAATTTATAAATTTAGTCTCTTAGAATGCGAACGTTCTTTAAAGCCTCTTTCCTCAGTTCCTCCTATCCTATCCTATACCTTATTCCTTTTTGTACGCTATTACTTTATATTGGTAATGGTAACGATAAGACTAGAGCCATATTTATTATGAATTAATAATAATCAATAGACTAAAAGGTAAAAAAAATAATTTTTTTTTTTTTTTTGAAGAGAAACATATATTAATACTTACCGTTCAACATATTATGTAGTAAAAATCTCTTATGAACTTCACCGTTGCCGTTGGCTTTAGATGGATTAGAGGATTGCCTCGCCGCGATAAATGGACTCAATGTATTATGTTAATTATAAATTTAAATGCATTATTAAAACATTATCAGTAGTTAATTTTATTATTATAAAATATTCGATAATGATTTATTTTATTAAATTAATTAAAATAATTGGGTATTAGTATAATTATATATTACTTATATTGGAATGTTTAATAAAATAAAAATTGCGTTCTTTCTAAACTAATCTTCCGTCCGTATTCCCCTACTCTCTACCCTGCCCCTTCCATTTGTCCGGGCAAACTGGTCGTTGATTGGTTGATCTACACTCGATACGCTCGTTAGACCACTAGCTAGTAGAGTCACCGTGATAGTCGTTATATAAGAAAAAAAAAATGTTCAGTGATAATTTAGTATTATCCGTGATCACATTTACATTAAATATTCTTCAAGATGCCGCCGAAAACTAGTGGTAAAGCCGCCAAGAAGTCTGGTAAGGCACAGAAAAACATCTCCAAGTCGGATAAGAAGAAGAAGAAGCACAAGAGGAAGGAAAGTTACGCCATCTACATCTACAAAGTGCTCAAGCAGGTGCATCCCGATACTGGTATATCCAGTAAAGCGATGTCCATAATGAACTCTTTCGTTAACGACATCTTCGAACGCATAGCCGCAGAGGCCTCGCGCTTGGCTCATTACAACAAGCGTTCGACTATTACTTCACGGGAAGTGCAGACCTCCGTGAGACTGCTGTTGCCCGGTGAACTCGCCAAGCACGCCGTGTCAGAGGGCACCAAGGCAGTCACCAAATACACCAGCTCCAAGTAAGGTCGGTGATTGGTGTGTTTTAGGTGTATTTCAAAGGCCCTTTTCAGGGCCACAAAATATATCGTATTACTATCAGTTTCTCATAATAACGTCACCCTACATCTCGCTCGTTCGTCCGCTACGCTAAGAGTATTCTTTTATAGATAGACCTCGCATGCAAATGTACAATTTTAAAATAAACTTACATACAACTAATACATAAAAGGATACGAAAAAAAAATAATAATAATAATAATAAAGAGATCTTATTTGAAATTACGTAAAATAAATTTAGAATAGTCTACTTAATAACTAGAAATCTGCTATAATACGCGCCTATGAGAGCTTAATAACTATTAGAAATAATTATAACCTACAATTTAAGACACAAACGATATTTTTATTACAAGGAGTATATTTTGAGCAAGATATTAGTGATTTCATATGAAATTAAGACCTCGAGGGTTCTCTATAATGCAAATATCATAATATTGTATATTATTATTATTTAAAAGTTTTTTAATACGATTGCTTGGTCTACCCGATATTCACGATGAAGTAAAAACGGAGAGGGGGGGGGGGGGGGGGGAAGGAAAAGAGATGGGTAGAGAAGTCTCGCCTGTAACCGCACATTTGTCGACCATATAAAAGCGTCGCCACTCGCGACGATTTCCACATTCCGCCTGTGGCACCGCTCTCGAGCGGTCGTGTCCAGGTAGTCCGCGCATCCGTCCCCGTACGGTAGTGCTCTCTCGCTCTCGCGCCTCCGCTGTCCTGCTCGCGCTTACAGCGTCGACGCCTTGGTGAGTCATTTTACGCTAACTTCAGTTATTACCTCCCTGTCTCCGGGCGGGGCGGTTTGACTGTTGGTCTTGCTTGTTATTGTTATTTTTATTGTTAATTCTTTTGTTAACTATTTCTAATTTTGTTTTCGTTATTTATTTGTATAACGTGTACGTGTATATACTGTTTCTAGGGAGTTACTTGCTCTTTTCAGAGCAAGGCCCTGCTCTTTTGAGAGCAGGGGCACTTACTCCTAGAATTAAGAACGTCCCGTTCTTCTCAGAACGGTGATCCCGCCCTTACTGTTTAGGTACATAACGTCTCTGTTCTTTTCAGAACAGCACCCACTAGCCCCTTCCGTATCAAATACGTTTCGTAAAACTACTGCCCTCAACATGTCCACAATTACCCAAATCAAGTCCCTCGTCGCCGCCCTAAACCAAACTCTTGGTCTGGGCCTAAACCTCGATGAGACGGCCCTTGCCGCCATCGCCGCCCATGTTACTCCCGCTGCCCGTCAGGCACTCCAACCGCCGCCCGTACTTGCGGCCTACCTAGAGACAAAGAACTCTTTCGCCCCATTAGAAATGGAGTACGCATGCTCCGAGTCCTCTGCATCGGCCTCCCGGAAGAGGCCCGCCACCAATTCTGGCACCGGCTCATCGGAGTCCTGTGACTCCGACGGAACCGGGGATTCTTCGTTCACCACGGTGAACTCCAAGCGCAACGGTAAACGCGCCGCTAAAAACCGCACCCTCCCTGTCTCAGCGGCCCCTGCCGCTCCTTCAACCTCCGCAGCTCCCGCTGCCGCCTCTGCCCCCGCAGCCCCCGCCGCTGCCTCAGCCCCACTTATGTCACTAGACATTCCCGCTCCGACCAAGCCAGCCTCTCGCTGTGCTCCAGTCCTTGCCAAGAAGCAAGTCCCGCCCCCTGTCTTCCTAAGAGACAAGGCTAAATTCACAGAACTCTCCAAAACCTGCTACAACGCAGGCATAAAATATGACCACGCCATCAACCTCGGGGAGGCTATTAAGATCATCCCCCAATCAATCGACGACTTCCGGCGACTCACCAGGCTATTCACAGCCGAACGAGTTTCTTATCATACATACGCTCTTCCGGAAGAGCGCAAAGTCAGGGCCGTCATCCGCGGCGTCCCCTTCGAATTTTCAAACGAAGAAATCCTTGAGGACCTTAAGTCCCAAGGTTTCCCCGTAGAAGCCGTGCACAAAATGCACAGTAGAACAGGCCAGAGGTTCTCTCTTGCCCTAGTAATTTTAACCAACGTGCCGGAGGCGAAAGCCATCTTCCGGCAGGTACGCACAGTGTGCGGCCTGTCGAGAGTGAGGGTTGAGCCTCCACATAGGCGCGGGTTCCCGGCGCAGTGCCACCGCTGCCAGCTGTATGGTCATGCGGCGGCCAACTGCTCCGCCCCACCCAGGTGCGTTAAGTGCCTTGAACCCCACAACACTAAAGAGTGTCCTCGGCCCAAAGACGCCGAATCCCCACCCGCGTGTGTCCTGTGTAAACAAACGGGCCACCCGGCTAACTACAGAGGCTGCCCTTGCGCACCTCATCCTCGCCCCAGTAGGCAAGCTCCACCGCCGGTCAATGACCGCTCATTCCCGGCTCTTTACCAACGGATGCCCCGTCAGGGCCTTTCTCAGCCCACCCAGGGCTTCTCTCGACCCTCTCAGGGTCCTCCTAGGCCCCCTCAGGGCACTATTCGGCCCCCTCCGGGCTTCTCTCAGCCTATGCAGCCCCCAGTTTTTCCCTGGGGCCCCAAAAAGGCAGTACCACCGCGGACATCCTCCGCCCCTCAACCACAACAATCACAGCCCTCAATGGCTGATGACCTAAAAACGGTGTATTCCGCAATTAGGAACATCAACGTTGAGGAAATCGCTGTGTTAGCACGCAAATTGCGCGCTGCGAGGTCCCCTCAGGATCGTCTCCTCGCTCTTGCAGAGCATCATAATCTTTTGTGCTCATTGTAAGTTAAGTTAACTTAATTAACTTAACTCACAATGACAGAGCAGTTTGCTCTACCAAAATCCCACGGTCGTATCAAACCTAAGGGTTTATCGCTTGTATCCTTTAACATTCGCGGTTTGCGAAATAACCTCCCAGAGCTTAAGCTCTTTCTTCAAAATCGTGAAACCGATTTCCTCCTCCTACAGGAAACTAATCTCCATACTAAGGACACTAAAGGCCTTTCCATCAAAAACTTCTCTCTTCTTCGTAATGATAGACCCGACCGCCGAGGCGGCGGTACGGCCATTTATTACAAGAAGACACTTCACTGTTCTCCCATTTCTACTCCGCAACTTTCCAACATGGAAGCCACGGTATGCAGGCTAGCTATGACTGGACATCAGTCCATCTTCATAGCCTCCTGTTACATCCCTTCTAAAACCCTTCCCCTCAAAAAAGATTTTGAGGCTATTTTATCTCTAGGCAATTCAGTCATTATGTTTGGAGATTTTAACTCCAAGCATACTGAATGGACATGCCGTACTACCACCCGTAGTGGCAAGTTACTGCTCGATATCACGCAGTCTCTTGATATTACCGTCCACAGTCCTCTCGGTGTTACTCACTTTCCCGATAACACCGACTATGCCCCCGATGTACTAGATTTTGCGTTACTCAAAGGAGTTTCTCTCAACCTTAGGGCAATCGAGACACTAGACGATCTAGGATCCGACCACCGACCGGTCTCTCTCATTCTTGGCCATCAGCCACCACTCCCAACACCCTCTACTAAAACCTTCACAAATTGGAAGGGCTTCAAGGAGTCCCTAGCGAAAGCTCTGGACTCACAGGACTCCCCCATCTCCCTATCTTCGGACTTAGACAGTCCTGAAAAAATCGACACCGCGGTCGATTCACTCTCCACCCTTATTAAAACCTCCCTTAAGGAGAATGAAAGGGTCGTCCCGGTTGCTAATAATAGTGGGCTTCCCCTGCATATTAGCAACCTATTAAAAGCCAAAAAAGCTGCTTTCCGGAGAGCAGCAAAATATCCCACGCCCGAATATAGGCGCACGGCCAATCGTCTTCAACGAGAACTCCGTTTCCGCCTCTCTGAATTTCGAGACCTCAAAAAGAGTAAGCTCATGGAGAATATCTCTCCCTCTCATACAGCGTACTATCAGATGGCAAGAGCCCTCCGCATAGACGCTATCTTCCACACTCCCCCTCTCTCCCGTCCCGACGGTACGGTAGCCTTCGAGGACGAGGAAAAGGCTGAGTGCTTTGCAGACAGCATTGCCGCTCAATGCTCTCCTAGCTCTCAACCCGTAGACCCCTCACACGTCCAGGCAGTGGAGGATGAGGTCCGCCGCCGGAACTCGCCCCCTACAGCCTCCGAACCTATCTCTGTGTCCAATGATGAGCTTTCATCCCTCATCAAAGGACTTAAGCCTAAAAAGGCTCCGGGCGCGGATGGCATCTCCAACCAAGCCCTAAAAAACTTTCCTGAGCAGGTGCTAACCCTTTTATCTATTATCTTCAATGCCTGCTTCAACCTTAGTTACTTTCCCACTACGTGGAAAGAGGCAACTGTGATTGGTATTCCCAAGCCAGGCAAGCCTCTTAATCTCCCCTCCAGTCATCGTCCCATTAGCCTCCTCAAGGCCATGGGCAAGCTCTTTGAAAGAGTCATTCAAAATCGCATGAGGCGCCATCTGTTTCCCACAGACGGTGACCCTCTTATCATTTCCCATCAATTCGGTTTCCGAGCGAAACACTCCTGCCCCCAACAAGTTCACCGTATTGTGGAATATATCCTCAGCGGTTTTTATCCCCGTCGTCATAAGACTATCGCGGTCTTTTTCGACATCGCCAAAGCCTTCGATAGAGTCTGGCATACAGGCCTTATCTATAAACTATACAAAATAGGTCTCCCCGATCGTCTAGTACGTCTCGTGGCCTCTTATCTTAATCATCGTACCTTTCGTTTTAGACACGAAGGCACGCTATCTTCACAGCGCCCCATCAAAGCTGGTGTCCCTCAGGGCTCAGTTCTTGCTCCTCTGCTGTACATACTGTTCACCAACGACATTCCCATTCCGCCGAAAGGTGTTCAGCTCTCCCTCTTCGCAGACGACACTGCTCTCTACTGCAAAGGTATCTCGCTACCTTTCATACGGAACAAGGTCCAAAAGTCAGTTGATGACCTAGGAGCTTGGTTCAAAAAATGGCGCATCGATGTGAACCCGGAGAAGAGCTCCGCCGTTCACTTCGATTATAAACGACGCCGTCTCAAAAACACTCCACCAATACGTATGCTAGGGACCCCTGTCCCCTGGCATACGTCTGCCAAATATTTAGGTGTCACTCTAGACACAGGGCTAACTTTCAGGCCCCACGTCAAAAGAGTAACCCGTCACGCACGTTTTTACCTGAATAGGCTCAACAGTATGTTGGGCCGACACAGTAAAATGTCCCTCAGAAACAAGCGTACCCTTTATAAGGTCTGTATACGACCAGTCATGTCCTACGCGGGCTCCATTTTTGCCCACGCTGACCCTAAAATCATTAATGAACTCCAAGTAGTTCAAAACCTTTTCTGTCGTCGAGCTGCGAACGCACCTTGGTACGTCCGCAATGCCGACCTTCATCGGGACCTAGAGCTCCCTACAATTCAACAATTCCTTAAAAAACTCTCTGAGAACTTCTTCAAAGCCTCAGAGTCGCATTCCAATCATTTTATTCGTGAGGCTGCTAATTATGCAGCCCCACTCCCCTCCCGCTATAGCGTCCGCAGGCCGAGGAACTCCCTCTCGGACCCGCCTAATAAACTTTCAAACGACCTGAACTGCCTCCTGGCGGCTCAGGCCAACTCTAATTAAGTTATTCATAATTAATTTGCCTTCCCAGGCACTCCCTCAGCGGCTTATAGCCGCCTGCGCCCTCTTTTCCCAAAAGAGGGTCGCTTTACGATACGGCATGTGAAGCTTTCAACAGCTGGTTGCCAGTCCCCAAAGGCAGTTTTTAGAGGGTATCACTTAGGTTCCCCCTTGTAGGTAGTGAGTCCCTCATAACCACGATGGACCGGCCATCGTGGTATGCGTAATGCATTTTCTGCCTCCCTTCGGGGTAGCCCTTTTCCAATTGCTTCGGGCGCAAAAAAAAAAAAAAAAAAAAAAAAACGACGATTTCAGTATCCCGCGCGTTGAGAACGTATAGTCGTATAGTGAATATATTGTGTATTATTTGAGTTAGTGTAACGTAACAATGGCACGTACTAAGCAGACCGCTCGGAAATCCACCGGTGGTAAAGCGCCGCGTAAACAACTGGCCACCAAAGCAGCCCGTAAGAGCGCACCAGCAACCGGCGGTGTTAAGAAACCACATCGCTACAGGCCCGGTACCGTCGCTCTCCGTGAGATTCGTCGCTACCAGAAGAGCACCGAGCTCCTCATCCGCAAATTGCCGTTCCAACGTTTGGTGCGTGAAATCGCTCAGGATTTCAAGACCGACCTCCGCTTCCAGAGCTCCGCCGTGATGGCCCTTCAAGAGGCTAGCGAAGCTTACCTAGTCGGGTTGTTCGAAGATACCAACTTATGCGCGATTCATGCAAAACGCGTAACCATTATGCCGAAAGACATACAGTTGGCGCGCAGAATTCGCGGGGAACGAGCTTAATAAACTCTACTCTACCGATTGTGTTGTGAACTACGTTTAATTTTTAACATCAATCATCGATTGGCAGTGTGAAAGTGGCAATATTAAATATGCCTCATTAACAACAACTACACGTTGACAAGATGATGATGATTGTGTTGGTTTTAACGTATGTTCTCTTTCACTTTCATAAAAGGCCCTTTTCAGGGCCGCATATGTTTCTACACAATAAACTGTGCGTTTCTTTAGAATATAAGAGAACGTTAAACGAGCAAGTAATAGATAGATAGATATATAGATAGATAGTATGGTATGGTAATATTATGAGATAACAACAAAAACATAATATCGAATTAAGGGCTCAGCAAATCGAAATGTTTATTTAGATACCGTTTAAATAAATTAATAGATAGATGTACTAATCTAGTATAATAGACGACAAACTGTATACTATTTAACATCATAAGATACACAGTAGGGTAAAGCTTACCTGTCTCACGACGGATGATCATTCATCACCATCATCGACGATCGGCGCCGACGATGCCTGCGCCGCCGCTGCCCGCGAAGTCTACCACCACCAATGTTCACGCGCAGAACGCTTCTGTTAGTTAGGATACAGTTTTTTTTTTTTTTTTTTTTAATAAATAAAAATCTTCGTCTTCATAATAATATAAATTATAATATCTTACTTTGGATAATCATATTAAATGAAGTGATACAAAATAGAAAACGACATGTTTCGACAATAATATTATCTGTACTTTATATACACCTCGTTCACCCCGCGACATTATTTCATGGCGGGCTTTGAGTATTAAAATTAATGGGGGATTAACTAATTTCTTTTTTTTTTTTTTTTTTTAATAGTATGCGGATTGACCTCAGGATTCATTGGATGGAGAGTCTAGCCATTGGCGCAGGACAAAATCGTATTACCTTATACGTAGTAACTAATTAGATACCTTTCTATATTCTAATATATAAATATTTTTTTTTGTTTGTTCGTATATAATGCGCTACCATACCGTTCATCAGATTGCGCTAAAACTTAGTCAACTTATTGCTAACTAATAAACTTACAATAGATGGCGCGCGTATCGAACTGACAAATTTATTTATTATTATATAGAAACTACCTCTTCCAATTTTAAACGATATTTCGACAAATTTTTTTTTTCCGGGTACCATCTACAGCAACACGAAACATCCAATTCCCCCCCCCCCCCCCCCCGCCATCGTCTTATTATTTGCCCGCCATTTTATACTTCCCCGCACCCTCGCCTCAGCCGTCTCAGTCGTCTGGGTGACTTTATATAAACGGGAAAAAAGTTAGTGCGGTCTATCTGTCGTCGTGCGTTCGTAACGTACGTTAAGTCTCTATATATATTATTTCGTGTGTTGTCTTTCTTCTCTAAGCGAAAATGACCGGTCGCGGTAAAGGTGGTAAAGGTTTGGGGAAAGGTGGAGCGAAGCGGCACAGAAAAGTTCTTCGTGATAACATCCAGGGTATCACCAAACCGGCTATCAGACGTCTCGCACGCAGGGGCGGTGTGAAACGTATCTCCGGGTTAATCTACGAAGAGACACGCGGTGTACTCAAGGTGTTCCTTGAGAACGTGATTCGTGACGCTGTTACATACACCGAGCATGCGAAGAGGAAAACCGTCACCGCCATGGATGTCGTCTACGCCCTGAAACGTCAAGGACGTACCCTCTACGGATTCGGTGGTTAATTTCTTATACGCGATGGAGACGTCGTCCACCGCCACGTACTACGGCTCTCTGTCCGCTCTAAGTTCGTCTATAGTACACCATGTGCGCAGTGTGTATTTGCTACTTGGTATGCGGGACTCTGAGAGTTAAGTTACGTGATGAGACGATTTTTCTAATCGTATAAGTTAATAAAAAAAAAAGGCCCTTTTCAGGGCCGCAAAACTATCGATATACCTTGTATTTGTTTCGTAGAGTATCGTCAAATGATATGTGCAAGCATGTATTTTGTTGTATGGATATGTGTATAAATGGCATGATTATGTATATAAGTGCGAATGTATGTGTGTTTATGATCATGTATGTAAGTGCATATTAGAATTAGATGTGTCTGTCTACAAAGTTATGTTATTTAAAAGCTGTAAAGGCATCACATAATATTTATATATACCAATTAAACGCGGAGAACAAAATTAGGTTTATTTTTTTTTTTTTAATTCGAAATAATTTCGAAAAACTGATCTGAATGAAAGAAACGACAATTCATGTATGCACACACACGTTTAAATGACTATACTCTTCTTAAATTTGACGATACCTACTAAACAAGTGTAAGATATCGCCATATTGAAATAATGGTTCGAACGTCTTAGGAATATATTATCATAATTCCGAATTGTATTTTTTTTTTCTCTTATTTATCTCCCTTATTATTTAATATATACATAATAATATGATATACTATATTTTAATAATATCACACTTCATTTTTTTTTTTTTTAAATACTTAACGCTTTATAAACATACGTTGCTCTGAAGCGTGACTGCCCAGCCCAGCTTTTGTACGTATTTTGAAGAAGTATGGGAACGTGTTGCAACATTCTAGAAATAATGATGATTTATAATAATTATTTCAGATTACAGTGGACAAATTTTAAAATATTATAGACTATTTTCAAAGATCCTACGCTTTGTATAGGGACTTCGGTCTGTGAGCCTCGAGACCTCTTCGTGTTTTACGACCTTCGACGTATAATAGGTCGTTGCATTACGAATAATGCATTACCGGCGTGACCTCTGCCTTCTGTCTAACCTCAGGATATTAACTTTCAATAGACCGATTTAAATTTAACTAAACTAATGAGCAAATAGAGAAAAATCATTTTAAAAGGCGGCTCATGGTACGCTCAGAATATAGTGAACAAAATAAACATCCATTGCTCGTTTCTCGATCGCTTATATACGTAACGGGTTTGTCTGTTACGTGCACAATCTCAAATATATACCGTATTAACTTTCTGAATACGATAATATTTATATATCACGGTAAAAATTAAATTTTATTCGAGACGTTCTAGTGAAAAGTTAGAAGTGTTCGTACGAGAAAACGTCTCGCAGCACCGCGGTTCTCCTTACGGTTAAGCTTTGGTTGGGGGGGTAAGGTGTGCGATAGTGTCGCCACCTAGTGCTGATTACTATCGACACCAGTGCGGATGCCATGGTGCCCAGAAGTCTCCGAATGAAGACAAATTGGACCCGCTTTCGTAGTGCGCTGGAGGACTTCCAACCTTGCGCCCCAATTACCACCAGTGAAGATGTGGAGACTGCGGCCCTACATCTTCACAACACTATAAAAGATAAACTCCAACTCCACTCTCACCCTGTCTCCACGGGGCGCGGGAAGGAGGGACTCCCACGCAATCTCCAAACGCTCCTGTCCGAGAAGCGGAAGATGAGGAGACTCTGGGCACGGACACGATGCCCACGGATAAAAACTAAACTAAACGCTATGACGGAAGAGCTGTCGGAAGCAATGAGAGCTTACAGGGGAGAAGCATGGGAGAGGCGAGTCGACGAAGCCTCGGAGACACCCGCCTCCCTGCATCTCCTCAACCGGCAGCTCACCAAGACACCACCACCTGTCTGCCCACTGGTGGACAGCACGGGGAGCAGAATCTACGACGCCCAAAAGAGAGCGGAATTGATGGCACAGCACCTTGAACAGCAATTCATACCCAACAGTGTAGCAGAGGGGTACGCAGACCACGTACAAGGCATAGAGGACCGCGTACGGGAATACCTCTCTAACCCGGCGCCGCCATTGCGAGGCGGCGATTTCATATCTCCAGCAGAGGTAAGGCGCACTATTATGCGCCTACCTAGCCGTAAAGCGCCGGGTTACGACGGCATTACCACCATTGCCATAAAGCAGCTGCCCAGAAGGGTAATAGTGGCACTCACCAGTCTGTATAATGGCATCCTGCGGACTGGCCACTTCCCGACCATATGGAAGCAGGGCAGAATCATCGTGCTGCCGAAGCCGGGAAAAGATAGGAGGTTCCCGGCCAGCTACCGCCCCATAACGCTATTGCCGCACATAGCAAAACTTTTTGAAAAAATCACCCTGAACAGGGTTCTCCCACATGTTACCCTGCGTGAGGAGCAATTTGGCTTCCGCAGGGGACATTCCACAACTTCTCAGCTGGCCCGCGTGCTGCACTATCTTGCGGCCGAATATAACTTCGGCCGCATCTGTGTGGGGGTCCTTCTCGACATGGAGAAGGCCTTCGACAGGGTGTGGCACGCAGGGCTAGTTTATAAACTCATTCAGCACACCACTTTACCGCCCATGCTTGTGCGGTTAATAGCGTCATTCCTGGAAGGGCGGAGCTTCCATGTCTCCTTGGAAGGGGCTGTTTCGGCGGCACGACCGATTTCTGCGGGAGTGCCACAGGGCAGCTGCCTATCACCGCACCTGTACGCGGTCTACACCAACGACATCCCCACCCTCCAAGGCCATCTGGAGGAATGGGAGGATGACGTTGTCCTAGCCTTGTACGCCGACGACAGTGCGTACTTCGCGTCATCACGTCGGGTGGACATAGCTGCTAAGAAATTGCAGCGGGTACTCGACCTCTTGCCTGAGTGGCTGGACAAATGGAGGCTGGCGGTCAACGTCGGGAAGACCGTCGCCTTCATGACCAGGCTGGCCAGAACACCACCAACCCTGCAACTCCGCGGGCAGGATATGGGTTGGAGTAGTACCATTACGTACCTAGGATGCCAGATAGATCGCTCGCTGCGCATGACCCCGATGGTCAATCACGTTGTGAGACAGGCCAGAGCTGCGCGAGCGAAACTATACCCTATACTGGCATCCAAACTCCCAACAAGAACGAAAATAGGTATCTACAAAACCTACATCCGCTCGCGGCCGACCTACGCAGCACCAGCCTGGTACGCGTTGACCTCGGCCACTCAGCGCAAGAGGTTGCAGGCCCAGCAAAATCTTGCGCTCCGGGTGATCG